AATTGTTCTTGTTTCACATTTAGATCTAAAGCTACTTAAAGATTTACAGTGCCAAAAATACTCTCCTCAAGACTTCAGATGACTTGAACTTTCTTAAAGACTTGGGGAACTTTATGTCGAGCAATAATCAGCAGCTCCAGCCTTTGCTGACTTCATTTCATTTGAACATGTTTTTTGGCAAACTTTTCAAAGATTCTTGCTCGAAAGTTACAACGTTTTATGTTAGAGGACTGTCGACGGTTTGTAAAACCAGTCTAGTCACGGTCTAGTTCACGCACCCCTTCCCTCTCTCTTTATTCCGTTACCACTCGGCAGTCGTTGTTGTACAGTGTCTTTATATTCATCTTCGGTACAGCTGATCTTAGGCGCCAACAACCAGCTTTACAATCACCATACAGTGGTCCTATTCCACTTGCACAAACCGATCTTAGCGCTATTGTAAGACGTCTTGGGTGTATGATCTTAGCGCCATTGTAAGACGTCTTGGGTGTATGATCTTAGCTATGATTGAATATCTTAAACTCGACTCCTGTCTACAGTTGTCTGTAAACGCACATAGCTTGCTGCGCACACAATAGGTTGATCCGATAACGACACACAACACTACCGCCCTCCAGCGCACCGTGCACAGCTTTAAGAAAGGTCCCAATTAATTGAAGGAAACGGTTACTAGAATGATGGCATTTGTTTTTATGGGCATAAATACTGTCGTGATCTAGGAATTGTTTGACATTGCAACTTGAGAAATAACTACTCATGTTTTATTTTATTTCGTGACATAATTATTATGACCATAAAAATAAATAATAATAATATGTCCTAATAACACAACACGTAAATGTATGATCGTCAACTATTTGGGGGGAACATTTCGTCAAAATCCTAAATTTATCCTTCATGGTTTCGTTTCGCTGCTATAACAAACGATGTTATGACTACCTTTTCAAAACCTAGAAAGACAGAGAATTTCAAGAATGCATGAAACAAGAATAACGAATAATGTTTCGAGAAAGCAGTTGCTAATATATATTCACTGGGTCTAAATTATATTTTATAAAAAGTGTGAATTTTACTTTTGCTATTTATAGGATATTTTACACAAATTTCAAATGTGTCATTATGTGTATTTGCTTGTTTGATGAATACTTCAGATAATAATAATAATAATAAAAACAAAAATAATAATAATAATAATAATAATAATAATAATAATAACTGACACGAATGTGAACCCAACGAAGTACAACGGGAGCTCAGCGATTCTAAAACATCAATACACTGGGCATTGTCATGAGTGTAGCGTTTACTCTACGGGCTTATACAAAGGGAAACCACTCCGAGCTAGCGTATAAATTTAGATTAGTTGCCCTTGATTTATCCAAAAGGTCACGGACGTTACAAATCGCTTGCAAGCAACTATGTTTTTATCCTTCCCTTGATTGGCGAGAAGGTATGTGGTTTCACTCTCTATCAGCATTGAGTCGGGTGGGAATAGTACTCTTAGCTATTACTGTATTCTTGTTTCATGGACCCGTGGAGATCCGGGGTAGAATATGTCTTCAGCAACCCATGCTTGCCGTAAAAGGCGGTGGTCAGGATCGCTAACTTGGTTGATGCATGTCATCGATCCCAATTGTGTGGATCGATGCTCATGATATCAATCACTGGATTCTCTGGTCCAGACTCGATTATTTACCGCCGTCATATAGCTGGAATATTGCGGAGTGCGGCGTAAAACAATAAACCAACCAAGCAACTTGTTTCATGACACGCTTGTCTCTGGAGCACAGATCCGTGACTAGGGTATTTCCAATTTGGAATGATGACAATTCCCATATTCCCTTTTTGACTCGTTTCATATGTTCCCTTGTTTCTTCATGTGGACAATTTGCATGTGTATGTGGCGGGTGACACCATTGGGGCAGGATACGTTCACCTGGTATCAGTAGAGCGTCCGCCCGGAGAGAGGAAGCTCGGCGGTTCGATCCCCGGGCCGCGTCATATCAAAAGATGTTAAAAGATGTACTTGTTGTTTCCCTGCCTGGCGCTCAACAGTGAGGGGTCAGTATACTGTTTCTGAGTGGGTTGTTCATGTTAAACTGCGGCATAGTATCTCAGTTGCCATGGGCTAGCCTAACCGGACTAGGACAAACAGTCAGACACACACACGCACGCACGCGTGCACGCACACACAAACATGTGCATGCACTTCGCTATATAAGTGTAATAATCTTAAACCCCATATTACCTCACCTCACCTTACCTGGTATAATCACTATTTGATAGTGCTTCATAAACACATGCTTGTGATAAAGTCGGGATCGTACAAGGGACTCTGCATCCAGTAGAGATTCCTGATGCTTCTGGGAATGTTTTTGTTGCTTTAAGAATACCATGTCTCAAACACTCGATCGATGGTTTGGTTTGAAGCTTGGGATTTGACTTGTAAAGCGAGAATGACTTTCATATGTACCAATACTGTATAACATTGCTGACTACAATGACAACCTTACTATACTTGGTAACTTGGAACAAATGTAGGTAGTGAATACAACGCAAGTGAGATGACTGTGTGGTTACTGCCAGTTTGCAGTCTCTATCACCCTGGTGGAGTCAGTTCGTAAACCCAATAACATTGGAGTATCGCAGCAGTTTCGCTGAAAGCTGAATACAAATAACTCAGTTTCAAAAGAAATCTGGAAAATAGGAACATGCTGAATTTTCAATTATGTGAGGGAAATACCATTAAACCAGCCCCAAGTCTTCTGTTCTGTGCGAGCGCCATAATCCCACCCAGGGGCTAGACATGTAATACCGAGCTCTCCGCCCATGATAATTGATTTTTACCATTTGTTGTACTTTATTTAATCCCCTATTGCACAATAAATCATCGTAGCAGAACACCACCAGGGGGCGCGGTGATTGCGCAGTTCTAGTGGAAGGTAGCTGTACGTCTAAAACAGCAGGATCGATGTAAATATAATCAGGAGGCTGAAAAAGGCTTGATCGATTGCAGGTATTGAGCGATGATAGTTAATCAGAGGGGGCACCTGCCCAGTAGAATGGCAAGTCAGATGAAGAAGCTTGTTTCTGAATGCACGCCACTGAAGAGTTTGATGGAATGTTTGGGACGGATGAGATTAAATGCCGGATTTTTCAGAAGCAAATTTGTCAATGCTATCTTGAAATACAAATACAGTGGCCACGTCAGCGAGGTTGTGATTATTATTTATGACATTGGCTGACAATGTGAGTATCATTTAGTTAAGTAAGCACTTTAATTACTTCTGTTTTCAACCACGGAAATCGTATATATGTATTATTTGCACACAACATATGAACTTGAACATAATTCTGGTATCCCCGCCTTGAAGTGGTGCAAACTATATTCGCTCACTTATCACGTTATTTAAAAAAAACCAGTCGTCTAAGGCGCCGCAATTCACTTTTGAGAGTTGAGTCCCTTGGGCACGCTGGAAACCTGATGTATGATTGTGGGTTCGATTCCCGGTTCGCCCCGATTATGTTTCTAGGTTTGTCAGCACCATACCCGTGCTCGTGGGTTTAACCAAAGTGATAACTGTCTGAGACCTGCATCACTTCTGGTTTCCCCCCCACGTTAAATTGACACGCCTTGATATAACTGTACTAGTGTTCAAAGCGACTCAATATCATTCACTCATTTTAGATCCGGTGTAGAATAGGTCTAACTATGTGTGTCGTAAAAGGCGACTAACGGGATCGGTTGGTCAGGCTCGCTGACTTGGTTGATGCATTTCATCGATCCCAAACGCGTGGATCGATGCTCATGATATCAATCACTGGATTGTCTGGTCCAGACTCGATTATTTACAGACCGCCGTCCTATAGCTGGAATATTGCTGAGTGTGGCGTTAAACAACAAACAAACAAACAAACACTCATATTAGCAGTAGTAACTGTTGTACAGGGACTGTGCTTATGAAACAGGACACAGTATGCGCAATGTTTGCAGTCCTTCCAAATTCAGCGGTGTTGTGTACGCACCGTCTTGACTTTAGCTGACAACCAGCCCTCTCTAATCATGGCTTTCCAAAACTCAGATTCCCTGCCACGTAGTCAGTAGTCAACTTAACGTCTTGGACAAAATTATGTGTTTATTTCAAAGTATTTCAACCGTGCACACCATTATGATCACGTCAGATACGACCCCACAATGTCAGTGCAGATTGATAGGACGTATAATCATGGTTGTGTAACAATACAACTACAATTTGTCACCGGTCAACCAATAACTCTCAGAGTTTCCTTGCCGATAACACGTATCATTTGTAGAATGTGTTCACGACCCGTCTTTGAATTTGGATGATCATGATCATCGCCTTTTCACTTTTAGCTGTCAAAGATAAAAAATAGATTATCGAAAGAATACTCCTCTAAATAATTCCCCTTGACCAAACTGGTAGACATCTACGAACTGCGGGACCTGGGGCTCCTGTTCCACTTCAACATACCGCTCCATGATAGAAATGGAGTAACGTTAAACTCACTCACATGTTATCTGAGCCGTGGAGATCCGGGTTAGAATAGGTCGTGTCGTAAGAGACGACTAACGGGATCGGTCGGTCAGGCTCGCTGACTTGGTTGATCCAAGTTATAGTATTCCAATTGCGTGGATCGATGCTCATGATATCAATCACTGGATTGTCTGGTCCAGACTCGATTATTTACATACCGCCGCCATATAGCTGCAATATTGCTGAGTGTGGCGTTAAACAACAAACAAACAAACAAATAAACACTAACATGTTATTGACATGATTTACAATGTGTTACCGCTTTGTTTTTTCCCCATGGGCCACAGATAAAGTTTCACGGGATGAACACGTGACGCGTCTGACATTACCCTATCTTAACAACAACCCCAAAACATTGCATCAATTGGAGTGTTCTTGTTTTGAGTATTTAGACTGAACTGATCTGGTCAAACACGTGAATTCAATGTTTCCGACTGGTTACAGGGATGGAGACAAGGGCAACATCCTTGACAACCTGCTTTCCAGGATGGAGCAGTACGCCAACAATTTGGAAGCTCTGGTGGCGGAGAGGACGTCAGACTATCTGGAGGAGAAGCGGAAGGCGGAGGATCTACTGTACTCAATGTTGCCGAAGTGAGTATAGACACCCGGTGCTCGTGACGTCATTCATATGTGTGTGCTCACGCTTCAATGTGAGATCACCATTATCAGTAGAATTGTTCCAAACAACACAAAAGTCGAGTTACACTTTGGTGCTCAGACTCGGGGACGTGACGAAGCTTGTCAACCACTCGGTTAGAGCTCTCGAGATACAGCTGACAAACTCTTTGAGTGTATATTCCAAGAGTTCCCGGTTAGAAACCAATCCCTTGGAGACAGGTAATGATTGAGACCCCTGCCCGTCTACACCACGTACAAAACCCTGATCCGGCCTCATTGTGTACCTATAATCAAACTTAATCAAATCTGTATCCCCACCCACACAGTTGTCGAGATGTTGTCACATCTGGCTTGTTGTAGTGACGCGGAGCTCGTTAAGACGTCGCCGGTACTCTGTATGCTACAGTCAGAGTTAAGGAGGGGCTATACTCGTCAGTCCCAGACAGTTTTGATGTAGACATACAGAATCAAAACTGACAGTTCAAACTATCAACTTTCAAATGTACATTATATTCTCAAAAAAGTAATTGTAATCATATTGATACACGTAACTTCTGATAATAAGTAAACACCTCCTCCCCGTGGCTGAATATTTACCGTTAGTTCTCGATGTCGGATACAAAAGGGTTTGGGTTTTAATATTTGTTTGTCTAAATTTGAGTTTTATCAAAGAAATCGTCAAAAGTTTATTGAGGCAAACACGACTAAACACCAATTCATATTAATTCATCTGATTCTTGTACCCTTAAAAGACCCCAATATTACAAATAAATTATGGTCACGCTTAATTTTGATTTTGGCCATTTTAAGAATATTGTTGATCCTATAATTTTAATGTCCAGACATTAGGGGTCAAAATTAACTTTGGATATGAAGGTGAATTAATGGAAGCTGATCATTCGACTACACTATTCACTCACGTACCCTAAACATCGTCGTTTACAAGATAGGTAACGGTTATGTAAACAATAGACACTTTATGAATTACCCGACATGATATTACGGTCCTGTTGGCGGAGAGAAGGGGTCCAAAATAGACTGATCCCAACGTGGCGTTGGAGAACACCCAACACTATTAAGAAAACTATGACAACGTCTCAAGCCTGCCAAACTTGTGTGCGCTTTTATTCAACAAGGAAACTATGTCGGCTGGTCACTTACAGCTGATTACATACCGCGGACCCAGGAGCTCAGAGGACTAATCCCATATTCTTGCCACAGATCAGGTTTTGGTCTGACATCAAAGCGTCAGCCTGTTAGTGTTAATCTCCTGCAACAATTGCAACTACAACGTCTCCAGAGAAGCGATGCATCAACAGCATCAACGCCTGTATCCAAGTCTTATCTGACGGTCACAGTTTTACTATCTCCCGGTAGTCAACGTCAAAAACACATGCATGCAGCGGAATGATTTCTTGATGCGTACTTCTTCCGCGCGCAGGAATACACACTGAAGCGGTGCCTACCATACACGCAGGTCGAAATTATTGCATGCAAACTAAGTCTAGTTTCGATCCGGCTTCACTCAACCGACCACTTGACAGGGTTAGAAACCAACAGTTTTTGTCCACTAGTCCTTATAATGATAACATATAGCAAAACCCTTAAAATGGGCCAATTTCTACTAGTCCTTAGGATACCTTTACTATTGGGCAGTTTGGTAAGGACTACAGGACCAGTGCCAATTTCTAACGCTGCTTGATAACAAAATCAGTTTACCATGTATTCCTTCGTTTGTGGTAAACTGAAACAAGATTTGCCCAAATCACCAAACCAATACCATATATGGTATGATGGTTTGGTGTCGGGAGCGAAGAAGTACATGACGTCGCCTTCACAGTTGTCTCCCCTCCCGCTGAACACAGATGGAGATAATTCTCCCACGCATCCCTCTTTATAAGGAAACTCGTAAAGTCGTGTATACAGGAATTATATGTTCACTTACGTTTGTACTTGAGGCTGTTCATCTCGGATCAAATGTTTAATTCATATTTGACCACTGTGGTAACTTTTCTGGCAAACAAAAGTCATCGTCTTGCTTCAAAAGATGTGACTAGTTTGTCTATTGTTTAACGCCGCACTCAGCAATACATAAGCTACAACATGGCGGTCTGTAGATAATCGAGACTTGACCAGACAAACCAGTGATTTTATGCGTAACCCTCCGTATTGTCGGGGTATGACAACAATCCGGTCACCGCGCCTCCGATGCATTTAGTCGCCTGACAGGTAGGTTACTTAGGACATATTCTGGTCCGGACACCCACGGATTGGATCTGATGATACACGGCATGTATGTTGGTCATGTAAACCATGCATGTAGATGTAATGATGGTACTGAGGTCTCCAAAGAAGAGTGACTAGGCCACTTGGTAGGGAGTGGAATATTAACGGTACATGTAGGAGGAAAGCTCGAAGTGATGCTGGTCTCCCTCTCAAACGTAAACGTATGCCACTTCAGCGAGACCCATCCGTTTGGAGCAGACAAACCTGGGATTCAAACCCACGTTGGTATATTGTTTCTGTCACGCTTAAGGAACGCATCTTTGCACAACGTATCGCTGTGATCTCGACCCCCGTGCCCACCGTCCAGGGATTGACTGATAGATGTGTCAGAGCCAAGGTTTCGGGCACACAGCAATAATAGCAGTTCTGGAATTGAAAAGAAGGCGTATCAATGTATCAAACTCATATAGCTACAGCACATTAGCCAACATATTTTGGCATAAAAGACAAATATTCATATGTTTTTAAGACACGGTATAGAACGAAACTGGACGGGATGCTATCATATCTAAGATATAATCACTGTATTTTCAGTCCAGAGCTATGATACCTGCAGAAGCAACCGCGCTAAATTGAATTTCGAACCGAACGCGTAGCCACTGTACAACAGAATTACAAGAACTGTCTCGAAGTATGATAAGACTGCGCATTCTGAACAATTAGCTGCATTAATTCGTTCAGTTTAATGACAAATTACAAACCCACAAGAGACGTTTGTTATTAAAAAATAGCCCTGTTACATTTTCAAATATATATTTGTTACATTTTACCGACTTCACTTAACTGGCGACAAAACGGTTCAGAAAACATTAAACCGAAACTAGAAACGAGATTGTTTGGAATAAATTTGCCCGTGGTCAGAACTGCGGTTACCAGATGTTGCCGAACGTGAGATTGGCGTGTTAGTGGTTACGTGTGAACCGTTACCGTATGCTGCATGTGCAAGTCTTTGGTGTTGCCTAATTCGTCCCTATGGACCGAAGATGGGTCAGTGAGGTTGTGAACCGCCTGAATATAATCGTATCTCGAGAGGATGAAACCACTCGTTGGCGGCATGATCAACAACCCACATCGTTGGGACACGGCGACACTGACAGGGTAACCATCCGATACAACGTTTAGTCGTGTCTGTATACAAGTATAGGGTACTGGAACTAATAAAGCCCGACTCCTCGCGGTGATGCTGGCTGCGAACGTGAAAACCTCTCAATCGTGAGATTGAAACTGACTGTTGAAACTAGACTTCCAGTTTCGGTTAACACCGTTGTCTCTGGAAGAAGCGTCAAACTAAACTCGTTCACCCACCCACACATTGACCTAGTGGTATCGTGACGTCATTGTGCACAGATTTTACATTGATTTGAATTTAGCTCTCCCTTGACTTTAAATGAATTACAGAAAAAATGACATTCATTTATCAAGTGGAAAATAATCTATCTTGATGGTAAATAAACAATTATGGTTTTTTCAAGTGTCATTTATTGTGGATCATGTTATCGGAAAACCATTACATCTCTCTTGCATGTCAACTATTTCCTACATCAGAATGTGTTTGCCATTGAATACCAATCCATTACACACGGTCCCCTGTACATAGCGTTCCTAGTTCCGTCATATAGATTGAAATAAACCACACCCCGTCGTCAGATTATCGGCCCTCCTGGAGATTCCTGTACATCATCACATGGGTAAAAAAGTACATGTAATCTACCAAGACTCCACAAAAATCACTTTAACGTATCAGACACATTACCATCACACATGTTATTAATGAAACTGTCAGTTGCACAAGGGTACTCCCTTTTCAGCTGTCACCGAGTCCTGGTAATAATAGAGAATGAACTGGAAGTGAATCACTCACGGTGCGGATCTCTGAGCAGAAAACCCATCTGAGGTGGCCGCCGTCTTGTTTGAGACAACGTGATGAACACCAGACACATGAATATATTGTGTAACACTGTCAAGACCAGTACTGAACCAAAATCTATTTATAGTTTAGTTTGACCTCGAGGGATGTCTTTGCGTCGATACATTCATACTTTGTGGACTGATATTTGTGTTAACAGCTGAAGAGATTCTAAAACCTAGCTCGTAAATATATTTGCATTGAACGTTACCTCGAAGTCGGCATCTCACTGAACGTTAAAGACATACAATCGGTTGTCTCCGTGCTTTCCAGATAACGAGGTATTATCGTCATACTATTCTCATTACCAATTCTGTCATGCTTTAGCATATCTATATGTATGGATATAAGAACAGTAAACTACGTGTAAACTAACACGCTCATAACGATCTGACGGATATAACGAACTGTTTTTGGTGCTTGTATGCTTGTAACGAACTACGGTAATAACGAACTAAATTAGTGGTCCTTTTGAGTTCGTTACAAACGTACATCCTTGATTGCCTCCAACCTGGCTGCAGGGAGTGATATGTATCTGTTTTACTCATATTTCTTCTGGGGAATCAGCCAATATTCTACAGTTCCTCCTTAGCGTAAAGTCATTCTCATGCACTCACACAAACATTCACTACAGGTCAGTTGCTGGCCAGCTGATTCGCGGCGAGTCGGTGACAGCAGAGGCCTTCGAGTGCGTTACTATCTACTTCAGCGACATCGTCGGGTTCACAGCCATGTCAGCGGAGAGCACCCCTATGCAGGTATGTAAGATGAAACACCGTGATCCCGGATCAATAATATTATCTCATTGCATTTTGTAGCCGTTACAAAAGTGATCGCACCGGAGATTGAGATTCCGGAATATCAGTGTCCGGATTACAGGGGTTTCAGTGTATATGTGTGGTCGATTCTCTTTAACGGAAGCCATATATGGATATTTAAAGATTCAATGGTTTACCTGGTCCATACCCGAACACTTCCCCGTCACCTAGCTAAAAGGATGCAAACTGTGATGGTAAATACTATTCAGGGCGGTGCGTAGTTTAGAAGTTGGAGCGTTCGCTAGACAAGTCGCAGACCCCAGTTCGATTGAGCCAGTTGATCATCAAAGTCAGATCTTGCAACGACACGGTACGTCTATATGAAGATGTGACAAAGTTCCCAGAGGCGGTCACCTCTGGTGCCATATCCAGTATCGAGGTCGAGATACTAGAATAGCGAACACAAACGAGCAGTTCGGAAAATAAAGTATGCGCTATACACATGTTTGATATTGTCAACACCCTATTTTGTTTCTGAACGCCATGACATGACAATATGCATAATCGAAGGAATCTTTTTGTTTTGTGTTTTCTTTCGGTGAGACTGAAATGTCCGAATCATGGTGGTACTTCATGAAAGCAAAGATATAAAACAGCCATGTTCACTATCACGCATCTGTAATCTACACTGTGGGGTCAAAGTTCACTCATTGTTCATCTCGTGAAGATCCGGGAGAGAATAGGTCTCCAGCAACCAATGCTAGGTGACTATGCTTGTCGTAAGCAGCGACTAACGGGATCGGGTGGTCAGACTCGCTTACTTGGTTGATGCATGTCATCGTTTCCCAATTGCGTGGATCGATGCTCATGATGTCACTCACTGGATTGTCTGGTCCAGACTCGATTATTTACAGACCGCCGTCATAGAGCTGGAATATTGCTGAGTGCGGTGTTTAACAACAAACAAACAAACAATGTTCATTGGTCCCGATCTCATGTGGAATGTGGCATGACATCATGATCAGGGTGAGATGTATCGTATTTGGGAAAATATCTGATCTTAATTAGATGGATATATGAAATCACGTTATTGTTTGAAGTTGGATTGTGTATTTTTTTTCAGATAGTTGATTTCCTTAACGACCTGTACACGACGTTCGACTCCATCATAGAGAACTTCGATGTCTATAAGGTAATCAGTACATGGTGGCGTTGTTGCCGTCAGCTGGCACGCCAGGCGAAATGGTCCAAATGCATACTCGCAGTTTGTGCTTACATTGAGAAATTGGTCCTTAAATAGTTTGTTTATTGTCCCCGGGTCAGCTCCATGCATTTCGATCAGACGTGCGCCATTCCTTTACAACTGTCGGAACCACTATCGGCGATTTAATCAACTTGATTATTGCATTGTGTCTGTCGTAGTTTGATTTACTGTGTGGCTCGACGTCTGAGCACATATTCGTGCCTTGTTGACAGCCACAATTCTTGCAATAACGTATATATTTTAAACGATTTTTTTTCGTTTATATGACAACGCAATACATTATATTTGAATTTATTCTGTGTTGTTAATAGTATACAACTCCGTCTCATAGGAAAATAGATTATTTTTTTCGCAAATATATTCTGGATTGAGAAATAGCACGTTTATCGTGACAAAATCAGTGGTGCAGACAATGCACTCAACGTAAAGTCAAATGTCTCGCACGCGCAACACACTTTCCCATGTACCGTTACCGGGGTGAGGATGTATTGGATACAAGCTGTGACTTAACTCAATACATTTAATTGACATTTATGCGGCACTGACAGTTTTTGTGTTTGTTGTGTCCTTTTTGTACAGGTGGAGACGATAGGCGATGCCTATATGGTAGTATCGGGTATGCCGGTACCCAACGGAAACGTGCACGCCCGGGAAATCGCCCGAATGTCTCTTGCACTACTTAACGCTATCAAGCACTTCCGTATACGTCACAGACCAGAGGAACACCTCAAGCTCCGGATAGGGATACACACAGGTATTTGTGAATATTAAGCAGTTATCTTTGAGCTTTTTAAAAAAAATTCATGATCGGCTCGCCCCAAAATTGACCCCTACCCTGAACAGTTTTTTATGTTTTTTAGCTGTTAAAAGACGACCATATATCTACTCATATATTGTGTTCGCATCGGTTTCCGACCTTTCTCACCCTCAATACCCTATAGCTGCATATTGTGATTAATTCATACATCTACATCACCCGTAGGATGAATTACAATCAAGTTTACAGAAATAAACAAATACAATCCTCCCTCCTTCAACAGTATAAAACGTCATGATCTTAAACCATCACTTCATATGACTCCACAATTACTGGACACGGCTTTCCTTCCATCTCAATATCTGTATGGTCAGAGATGAAATGGATGTTCAACCTCCAACATCATTTATCTCCAAATACCAGTTTTCAGTGATCCATATAACGTTACAGTGTATCATTTTACGTCTTAGTATAACGGCGGTACAGCACGTGTTTTCAAAGTTGTGGGAACATGGGGCTGCAATGGGGACACCATAACAACTGTGCACGTATTTCGAGCGTGAGATGTTTTGCATCCGCAGGCATACTTATTTGCCTTGCTCAGACTCGATTATTTCCACGAAGCCCTGATGCAGCTTAACTATTGCCGCCCGCGGCGCTAAACAACACTCACTCACTCTCTCACAAGGGATGACCAGGCACCTGTTTCAGTATATGACGCCGTGTTTCAGGAGGTGTCTGTGCAGGCGTGGTCGGGCTCAAGATGCCGAGGTACTGTCTGTTTGGAGACACGGTGAACACCACGTCCCGGATGGAGTCTAACGGTCTACGTAAGTGTTCATCACTAAGTCGAGGCGTGTATTATCAAACACCTCTTATTTTGATGATATATGAAATAAAAGAAGATAAACATTGCTGTTATTTGCATTTTCATTTGAGGTAACTCTTGGTGACCATTCAAGTCGATGTTTGATATATTGGTTGGTTGGTTGGTTTGTTGTTAAACGCCGCACTCAGCAATATTCCAGCTATACGACGTCGGTCTGTAAATAATCGAGTGTGGACCAGACAATCCAGTGATTAATATCATGAGCATCGATCCACGCACGTCCAAATCAGCGAGTCTGACTACCCGATCCCGTTAGTCGCCTCTCACGACAAGCATAGTCGCCTTTCACGGCAAGCATGGGTTGCTGAAGACCTATTCCACCCCGGGTCTTGATATACTGGCGCCTCTAAACCCCAGGCAAACACATTCCTATAGGTTGTGAAATGTTCCACCTCTTAAAGATGTTGCCTGACTTGAAACAATCCTTTGCAGCTTTGAAGATCCACTTAAGCCAGCAGACCAAAGATGTGCTAGATCATTTCAGAACCTTTGATGTGGAACTCCGAGGACAAGTGGAGATGAAAGTGAGTGATTAGCGTACTGTTGTACACGGTTCATGCTGTGCAGTAATACCCCGGGAATCCGGACTGTATCCTGTTAAGTGAAACCGACCCGATTACCGAGTGTTGCTATTAACAGAACATGCTTTTAGAGCAGCAACAATGTCATTTATGTCAATGCACTCACGAATTTTCAGTATATTTTCCAATGTCAATTGTGTATCCGGAAGAATGTTGGAAGCCGGCAGGAATTCGGTGTTTTCAGATAGGTATTCCGCCAGCATGTGGCGAGTAGATGAGTGAGTGAGTGATTGAGTTGGGTTTAACGCCGCTTTTAACAGTATTCCAGTTATATCACGGCGTGTCAACTTAAAATGGGAGGAAAGCCCGAAGTGATGCAGGTCTTAGATGTTTACCACTTCGGTGAAATCCACGAGCACGGGTATGGTGCTGACAAACCTAGACACATAATCGGGGCGAACCGGGATTCGAACCCACAATCATAGGTTTCTGGCGTGCCCAAGGGACGCAACTCTGCACAGCGGCGCCTTAAACGACTGGGCCACCCGTGCGTCCCGGCTAGTCGACGAGACACAAGCAAGGCCTCGACTAGCCGGCGTGTCGCCCCATAGATACAGCCTGCCTTCTAGGGACTGTCACATCAGGAAACGTGTGTTTGTCCTGTCTATAAACAAGTAAAGGATGAATTTCGAAAAAACACTTCCTGTTATAATAAGCCCCGACAGTACAAGATATTTTACGAACGTTTCTGTCATCTGCTGCCACTGCTAATCACATTAATTTACATCAGTCTTCACTGCCACAGTAGCTAATATAGTCATTTTGCCTGATATGCACCTTTTATCATATAATGGGTAGGTTCCTCGACAGGGTAAAGCCAACGGATAAAAACGATATCCGTTGGGGTCATATGCGGATAGAGATGCAAATATCAAAAGTCAAGTAGGGACTACTTTTACTGTTTATTAACAAACATGGCGTCGCCCTCGTCATTCGGCGATCGAGTCAGAATTAACCATCGGGAATCTGGATAAACTACAGGGATATTTGCTATCATTTTTAAAAGAACAGTCTAAAATACTGAAAATCAGTGTCTAACTGTGACGTAGCTAAGGCATTTTATAAGTTTTGGCAAGTTTGGAGATATAAATTTCGAAACAATTTTGCGAGGGCACTAGGCCTAGCCAAGCGGGATCAGTAGCCATATCTGTGCTTGAAGACCTCTGCGGCTTGAAACCTTCTCCACAAATTAAAATAGTTGGATTTGGCCGAAATATGTTTGAATTATTACCTTGTTTCGTTTTGTCCCTGTGTGTACATCTGACTACACTTCTTACATTATGACAGGACAGACCGACTGTCAACAAGGTCTGACCGTGGCCGTGACGTCTCATAGACTAGGGCTAGAGTAGCTTCCCTTTGACAAAGGGCAGTTACTCTAGCGGACAGACCGATGGATTGCCGCGAAAGGCAATTAAAAACAATTGTTGTTTTGCGTACATGTTGCTTCGCCACTGTATAAGAAATATATTTCAGTTGGAACTATATTGGTTACTGTCACTGTCCGACTGACACATCACTTACCCTTTGACGTAATAAATATTAATGCGCGCATTCCAGGAAAACTCGCAATGTTTCGGAAATGTTTTTGAGAGAGGGAAAGCGATTTTCAAGCACAGAATTAAAGAATGACATTATATGATAAAGAGGTTATCACGCTTGTGTGTTTGGGGATGGTAAATATCCCCCCAAACACACTCGCGCGATAACCTCTATTTATCTAATGTCTTTAGCTATAAATGGCAAAATGAAATCCACCGTGTATTGATTACGAATGTCAAACTACTCGCACTGTTTGAGAGACAATACACACATACATGAGTGGGGTCGAGTATTGTACTTCGAGTGTTATCCACCAAACACGTACAACGCTTGAAGAAGAGTGAATAGTATGCGAAACTACGGCTCGAGTTTGTCAGACAACCTTGTGAATTGCATATACATTTAAGTAAGGATAAGACTTACGGATGAGATGACATTTGTTTGATATTAGACGTATTTAGCTGGTTCTATATATCGAGAAAGTTTGACACACTTCACAGGGGAATACTCATTGTTTTTACATCATAATATTCAATGGGAAAAGCCAACCTTCCACCATTTCACTTGTCCGTCACTACATAGCTGGAATATTGCTGACTGACAAACAACAAACAAATCATTTCACTGCGATCCCGCCAATAAATACCATCAACCTGATATTTGTTTTATCTGCTTACACCGAGCCACCCAAATTTGATATTGCCAGATTATCTGAAACATGTATTTGATCTTGTTTGGCCTGTGGAAATATATGGATATGTCCGTGTACAAACAGACGCATTTAAGGAACCAAACCTTAGTCTTAATCTGCAGGGGGCACTGATGGCCCAGTCGTATAAAGCGCCATGGCCACAGTTCGTTGTGCAGAATTGCGTCCCTTGGGCACTCCAGAAACGTATTATTGTGGTTTTGAATCCCATTTCGCCCCGATTATGTTTCTAGGTTTGTCAGCACCATGCCCGTGCTTTTGGGTTTTACCAAAGTGGTAAACATTTGAGACCTGCATCACTTCGGGCTTTCCCCCGACATAAAGCTGACACGCCGTGATGTAACTGGAATACTGTTAAAAGCGGCGTTTTACACAACTCACTCACGCACTCACTTTGTATCTACAATGTTCAAAAGAGCAATCGTTATCCTATTATTAAGTTGATCATACTATGATTCCATTACACATTACTTAAACCTCCTTTCCTATTCTGTGAATATTTGAAGTATGCTTGAATTAATTGAGTATATGGACCCAGCGGACAAGAAAGTCAGATAGTAAAAGTATAATTACATGTAGATCTTACAACACTAGTGTTCATTGCACACTCATAATTTAGTGATATGTCATGTAATTTTTCTTCTAAATTTGAGACGAATTGCAGTTTGAAAGGGAACAAAACATCAAAAGTAGACCTCTTCTACAAATACCTACGCTACACTGATCCGTGTGGTGGTTTGTGGTGTACTCAATTAGAATAGAAGTCAATTTGTAAACCATTAATTAACAGTAATATATAATATTATATGATAACATTACGTTTGATCATAAGCATGTATATTAAGTTTATATATTTAGAATGTACATATTTACATACTTATCTGGTTCCTGATACACTGAGGAGAAACGTGTGTCTGGAGTAGTCAGGTTCCGCCATCTATCTCCGCGCTCTCTGTTCCAGGGGAAGGGAGCACAGACAACGTACTGGCTGGTGGGGGAGACACCAACATCAGCAACATCCTGACCTGCATCACCCTTGTCATAACAACTGGCATATACAATGTTCTATATAGTGCTGCTTTCACACTCTCAAGGAGAGACCGGTGTCGGTATACTTTTGAAACCTCAAGGATTACATTCAGTATGGTACTGGGTATTCTACAATAACATGGATGGTATTGAGTAGTGCTGCCATATCATGGATGGCACAAGGTAGAGCTGAACTACCATGGATGGCGGTAGGTCGTGCTGCAGTACCATGGCTGATATATTGGCAAGGGCTACAATACCATGGAAGTCACTGGATAGTGCGACAGATGAACCTGGACGTTTTTTTTCGGTGAAATATCCATGTTTATCATGGATCAAGCACTCAGACTGCAATGGCTGTGATTGACCCAGTAGACAGTTTATGTATAACCCCCGATACGTCTGGCCACTGACAATGAGTTCCTGACACTGACATGAGAACTGACAGAGTTGTGGACGCCGAAAGGTTTAATATACGTTGTTTCTACACCAGTGAGGAGAGCGAGTAGTTGAATCAGCTGGGAAATGTCATTCACCATTTCCAGGTGGACACAGGTCGGCAAGCTGCACTAGTGGATGGATATCAGCCTGTCTTTGGAGGACGTCTTTAGTCATGTTTGGACAATTCAGTCGCATATATTGTATTAATGTCTATGTTCGGACGAATACGACCATCGTGATTGAATACCTATCTTAAATGTAATAAACATGGCTTTGGTAAATATTTAAACAGCCTGAGGACAAGGTATTGGAGTTCACACCTAGTGTTGTAGTGGCACATGTTACAGAGACAAGGTGGCTTGCTGGATAGATGATCAGGTGATAGTCATATCGTTGCAGAATACACCGACTGAACACATGCTGAACAACCCACAATGTTCTTTAAGAGGGAACAACGAAAAACTAAAAACGTAATGATGGAAGGACAAGAGACATGCTGGGATGTTGACTTCCGATTTGTGTTGTCACGTTATAGAACCCCGGGTATAGTCACACTGGATATAAACTCATACAGTGGGACAAGATGAAGTGGCCAGTGTGTTGGACAAAGCTATACATCCTAGGATACAAACATCTATCTGAACCTTGACGTATACAGTTATTGGTTGTGGGTCTGTGTTCTTGTCAGTATTCCTCTATGTGATAACCGTGGCACAAAGAATGTGATTTACTTGTTTGCACAAAATCTATATTGACTTGAAATGACAAGGAATGGGCCACTGAAGGAGAACAGTATTTATCCGTCGACTTGATGGGCCGCTTGGTGAAAATTCAACATATCGTGGAATACGTCATCGATATCGAATGAAAATGTATGAATTGAATGTTTTGAATATGTATGTATTTATCCACCAGACACTAAGCGTGTACACGCTTGTCCTTCCGTCTCCAGGTGTTTGTGTGTTGACTTTGCAAAACGTACAAACTTGTTTTATTTATATATTCTGTATGTGTTTCGTATTACAATGGCTGTGAGTCATCGACTTGTTTCAGAAGATGTCAACCTGGTTCATCAAATCAAGACGAGGTTCTTATTACTGTATCAATTTTACCGTTGTTAGTTGTATTTATTCAATGTTTAGTGAATTTTTACGAAGGTCAGCCGCTTGGTTTAAAGATGTATCGTTCAGTCATTGTATTGATGGAATCCCTCGCATGGATTAAAATTCCTTCATTCACTTCTATTTCATAATGATATTGTTATGAAGCTACGATAGTTCATCTCGAAATTCCTAACATCCAATATTCGACATTTAAATAATTGCTGACACGGAACCGACAATGTGCTATTCTCGATGTTCATCGAAAAAAACAAATTGTCTCTGAAATGCTTTGAAAAAAAATATTTATGTTTCAGACTGTTGATGACCCCCTCCCTCCCCTCCGACCCCCAACACACACAAACACAAACACACACACACACACAGAGACAGACAGACAGACAGACAGACAGACACACGCACACACACAGGATCCAATTTGAATTTAAGCGATACCACTTCATGATGTACACGATTCTCATTGTTCATACTTATGACTGGACGGTGCGGAAGCTTCAGTGGTAACATGATCAACCTTTGACTTTCCAGGTCTAATCACAGATTCCTGATCATGTCAAAACCATACCTGTCTGTCCCCACTGGCTACGTCTTGGGGGAGGAGGGGGGTAGCCTAGTGGTGTAAGCGCTCGCTCTTCGCGCCGAAGACCCGGGTTTGATTGCCGACATGGTACAATGTGTGAAGCCCATTTCTGGTGTCCCCCGTCGTGATATTGCTGGAATATTACTAAAATCGGCGTAAAACCTACTCACTGTATACGTCTTGGAACCGCCACAATCTGAACAGTCCTCGTACTTTAGGCAGACACGCCGCGATATAACTACTGTTGGAGGATGCATTGTTCACTGGAAGACATTATTTAACGATAGGGTAGGCTTGCGGTTAATACGGTCACCCTATTACACAAAGGAACCGGCGACAATACACTTAGATCCGGTGACGACCAGATCAGATGACTCTAAAAGCGGAGTCAACCTCGTCCATTCACGTCTTCATACATATGAGGATATTGTGATCTAATAACGCCCTGTCTTTAGCCGTATGTCGCTGTTCATGACGTCACAGTATTTATACTTCTCGTCCGACGTTGATGTATGCGCTGAACGTCACTTCATTAGATCTGTGAGGATGTGCTGAACGTCACTTCATTAGATCTGTGAGGATGTGCTGAACGTCACTTCATTAGATCTGTGAGGATGTGCTGAACGTCACTTCATTAGATCTGTGAGGATGCGCTGAACGTCACTTCATTAGATCTGTGAGGATGTGCTGACCGTCACTTCATTAGATCTGTGAGGATGTGCTGAACGTCACTTCATTAGATCTGGGAGGATGTGCTGAACGTCACTTCATTAGATCTGTGAGGATGCGCTGAACGTCACTTCATTAGATCTGGGAGGATGTGCTCAACGTCACTTCATTAGATCTGTGAGGATGCGCTGAACGTCACTTCATTAGATCTGGGAGGTGCTGAACGTCACTTCATTAGATCTGTGAGGATGCGCTGAACGTCACTTCATTAGATCTGTGAGGATGCGCTGAACGTCACTTCATTAGATCTGTGAGGTGCTGAACGTCACTTCATTAGATCTGTGAGGATGTGCTGAACGTCACTTCATTAGATCTGTGAGGATACGCTGAACGTCACTTCATTAGATCTGGGAGGTGCTGAACGTCACTTCATTAGATCTGGGAGGATGCGCTGAACGTCACTTCATTAGATCTGTGAGGCTGTGCTGAACGTCACTTCATTAGATCTGTGACGATGTGCTGAACGTCACTTCATTAGATCTGGGAGGATGCGCTGAGCGTCACTTCATTAGATCTGTGAGGAGGTGCTGAACGTCACTTCATTAGATCTGGGAGGATGCGCTGAACGTCACTTCATTAGATCTGTGAGGCTGTGCTGAACGTCACTTCATTAGATCTGTGACGATGTGCTGAACGTCACTTCATTAGATCTGTGAGGATGCGCTGAACGTCACTTCATTAGATCTGTGAGGATGCGCTGAACGTCACTTCATTAGATCTGGGAGGCTGTGCTGAACGTCACTTCATTAGATCTGTGAGGATGCGCTGAACGTCACTTCATTAGATCTGGGAGGTGCTGAACGTCACTTCATTAGATCTGTGAGGATGCGCTGAACGTCACTTCATTAGATCTGGGAGGCTGTGCTGAACGTCACTTCATTAGATCTGGGAGGATGTGCTGAATGTCACTTCATTAGATCTAGGAGGAGGTGCTGAACGTCACTTCATTAGATCTGGGAGGTGCTGAACGTCACTTCATTAGATCTGTGAGGATGCGCTGAACGTCACTTCATTAGATCTGTGGGGATGTGCCTAACGTCACTTCATTAGATCTGTGAGGAGGTGCTGACCGTCACTTCATTAGATCTGGGAGGTGCTGAACGTCACTTCATTAGATCTGGGAGGTGTTCATAGAGACTGCTTTAAACAGGTTTCTCGGGTACATATTTCTTTGATGTGAGGAGGGATCAATTGTCGTTTCCCAGCAAGCATACAAACAGACACTACTAGGTAGACATTGAACTCTGCTCTTATAAATGTCAGGCATGGGTGACTGTCTGTTCCATAGGACAAAAGGAAAGTACATTAATACTGGCAATAAAAATGACTGACGTACAGAATGTTAAGTAACCAATGATCAAGTGAGACATTTTCCAAAATGAAAAACAAATATTTCCGTTGATTCCAATGGCATTCACGTTATGGTCGATAGAGAGACGAGCCTTACGCAAAGAGGCGAGTGGTGTCGAATGGTGTCCTGGATGTGGACAATCATTGCCTCTCAGTTCAGTGCGTGTAGCTGCACCTTAGGTAGGCGGGTAGTCTACAGGTTAACGCGTCGACTCGTCGCGCCGATGACCAAGGTTTTGGTTTCCGCAATGGATACATTACTCAAAAAACATCTTTGAATTCAATGTTTTGACATGGCTGTATCGTAACCGCAAGCTGTGTCATACTTTCCATCACGTACTCCAGGCTATTTCAGCACAGCAGCTATTTGCCACAGCCACAATCTTGCCCAACCTGCCCACAATAAAATTCATTTTACAGAAACGAAGGAAAAGGATTGTATATGAAAGAAATAACACGATAAAGAAGGAGACGTCTTGAAGTTGTACTTAGGTCAATGTCAGTATGGCCATGTTGAATATCTAGTCTCCGCGAGTATTATTCTACTTGTGTGGAGTTGAACGAGTAAGTTATATATGTTAAATAAACAGTTTCAACGCAAATTGAAATTAAACATACTTTCTGTGATATTACATTTGTTGTATTGTGATTCAAGGCATGTATTAGTTTAACGACTGATCAAGGTAGGTGCGTTAGCTGCTGTCACATGACCACAACGTCGCCAGGAGGCCCACACAAGGCCACAACGTCGAGAGAAGGCCTACATAAGGCCACAACGTCGTGATGAGGCCCACACAAGGCCATAACGTCGAGAGGAGGCCTACATAAGGCCACAACGTCGTGATGAGGCCCACACAAGGCCATAACGTCGAGAGGAGGCCTACATAAGGCCACAACGTCGTGATGAGGCCCACACAAGGCCATAACGTCGCCAGGAGGCCCACACAAGGCCACGTCGCCACGAATCCTACACAAGGCCACAACGTCGAGAGGAGGCCAACACAAGACCACAACGTTGCCAGGAGGCCCAGACAAGGCCACAACGTCGCCAGTGGGCCTACACAAGGCCACAAGATCAAGAGGAGGCCTACAAAAGGCCACAACGTCGACAGGAGTCCCACACTAGGCCACAACGTCGCCACGAAACCCTACACAATGCCACAACGTCGAGAGGAGGCCAACACAAGACCAAAACGTCGCTTTGAGGCCTATACAAGGTCGCAACGTCGCCAGGAGGCCAACACAAGGTCAAAACATGGCAAGGAAGCCCACACACGGTCACAACATCGCAAGGGTGCCCACGCATGGTCATAACGTCGCCAGGAGGCCCACACAAGGCCACGACGTCGCAAGGAGGCCGACAAGGTCACAACGTATACTGAGTCTGAGTCGAGTGATATTGCTGGAATGTTGCTAAATGTGGCGCAAAACCATACTCACTCACTCAATACAAACGTGCATCGATGTTCCTAATTGATTGAAGTAATTTCGGCCGATTACAATACATTGATGATAAGTTCAAATATCACAGCAAAAGTCCATGATATCATCGATGTTTCGGAGTGTAGAAATATAATGACATTACATTAATCATTGAAGTTAGGGCGAGGTGAGTGAGTTAAGTTTAACGCCGCTTTTAACAGTTATATCCAGTTATTCCAGTTATATCATGGCGCTTTAGCTGGATGTTGAAGTAAATTCAGCGTAAATTATGCAGGTCTTAGGCGGTTACCATTTTAGTGAAACCCACGAGCACGGGTATATTGCTGAAACACCTAGAAACAAAATCGGGGCGAACCGGAATCACGATCATAGGTTTCTGGCATGTCCAGGGGACGCAACTTGGCACAGCGAACTGCGGCGCCTGAGACGACTGGGCCACCCGTACCCCCAGGGCCACCCGTACCCCCAGAGCCAGATGAGGATTCAGGCCTGGCCCAGCAGATGCTCAGTCTTGCCTGCTTGTGTTGTCGAGTAATGATGTTCAGGTGCTCACAATGTGGATCGGCCACCCATGTCACAAGCGCCAGACAGTCGTGGCTTCAATGCTTTAAAATACTAGTAAATTTGCGATAGCTGAAGCTGTACGACCGCTCAGTGTGTATCTTCGTACATGCATGGTAATAACTGCTCTTGACATAAATCGCTGGTGATCCTGGTCTTGATTAATTTGTATACAGGCTACATCGATATAACTGAAATATCGACATGTCAAATTAAGCTAGGCATCTGCTTCCTAAGACAAGAAATGTTCTCCACATACTTTCACAATACCACTAATTTTTACATCTCATAATATATATAGTTACAATGCCCTTTAAAGTGAACCTTTGATATTCTACATAAGCGAATGCTATTTCAACACCGTATGTCTGGAGACACTCAAGGCTAGTACTAACTTTCTCAAAGAATAAGAGTAAAGGTTGACCATAATATTTTCGATAAAATTATTCACTTTAAAAAAGTTTGATATTTAATCAACATTCTGAAATTTGTGAAGACAACTCTATGTTTAGCGTGGGTTGCTACCGGTGTTTTAACTTTAATCAAAGGGTTTCTTGAAAGAGTTAATACGAAAGCTTGTCAAAAACGCCTACGCCTGATAAACGTTTAACTGCGGGCCATAACAAAGTGAACTAGTCAATGTAGTACATGAATAGTTTATAGCAAGTGAAGGGGCGGTCGGGTAGCCTAATGGTTAAAGCGTTCGCTCGACAAGCAGAAGACGTTCGATTCCCGACATGGGTACAATGTGTGAAGCCCGTTTCTGGTGTCCTCCGCCGTGATATTGATGGAATATTGCTAAAACTGACTCACTCACTCATTGCAAGTGTATTTGATCAGTTGAATGTGCTAGGGGTCCAACTGGACACAAAACAGTCATCAAGTATTTGTACACCACAAGACATTGCATGGGGATGAGGGTATGTGCCCTAGCTCGTCCACTGTTACATGTTGGCCAGCTATGGTTAAGGCTTGGAGAACAAGTCTGTAATGATGACCGTAGGACTAGACGTCCCTCAACTTCCATCAATGAAGGAGAAGGAAACAGAACAAACACAACGTACAGCCAGATAGACTAATTACCATTGCTGAACTTGAGGAAGACACATCTAAGACATGATTCCATTGAAGCTATTATTCATGAACATTTACAGATGAATAAGATATCTGCTCGTTCGGTGCCAAAGTTTTTATATTCTTATTTTTAGGAAACAAGAACTGATATTGCCAGAGAAAATTTAAAAGGTAATTGAGGAGCATTTCGTCAAAGTCAAAAAGAGATAAGTAACGGGTGATGAAACATGGGTCTTTCACTATGATCGCGAGTCAAAACGTAAATCCATGAAAAGGCACCATTCCACTTCTACGGCATGAAATAAATTCAAGTCTTCAAGATCAGTTAAGAAAGTAATGGGTACTGTATTCTGGGATGAAAAGTGTGTGATACTTGTTGATTACTTAGAAAATCAAAAGATGATTACCGCTGCCTATTTTGCTGATTTGCTTCTTAGCCTAGGAGATTCAATCAAAGAAAAACGACGAGGAATCACGAGGGCTGGACTTCTACGTTTTACGACATTGCATCTTCTCACACCTCTCGTCATGCAAAGGCTGCTGTGTGACAATGTGGATTCGAAGAGTTTGCTCACCCGCCACACTCGCCAGACCTGGCACCAAGTGATTTCACAACTGTTGGTTTTGTTTGATAACAAAAAAAATATATTTTAAACATCGTATGATTAGACCTGTCATTGTCTTCTCAAAAACGAAATGTTGTGTCCTTCAATGTGTAAAATCGAAAGTGACATGAGCAATCGAGTTCTTGTTAATAAACTATGTTCATGGCAATAGGAAATGTGAGATTATATGTTTTCCACTTTCTCGAAAGGTTATTTCATATTTTGAGTGAATTATTGACAATAAAAGAGTTTAATCAGTCAGTGTGTCACAATAAGAACTGAATTTAGATAAAGGAGCTAGTTGTTGAATGCTGTATGACATCGCTCTAGGAAAACACACTACTCTATCTAAATGGTCTGTAATTACTCGAGTCTTGGCCAGACAAACCAATGACTGAAAACAATAATCATACATTTATATACCGCACATGTCCAAAATATGTCTGCTCAAAAACGATTTGTTTGTTATTGCAGTTATCATTCTCAACGTCCTGGTGAGGAAACAACCAAACTTGCCTACAGGCGTATACACCCACCTCTCATCGGGTACCCATACCCTGCGGGGCACAGACACACATTGGAACAGGCGTATACACCCACCTCTCATCGGGTACCCATACCCTGCTGGGCACAGACACACATAGGAACAGGCGTCTACCCCCGCCTCTCATCGGGTAACCATACCCTGCGGGGCACAGACACACATTGGAACAAAGTCACTAGCCCAGGTGACACCGCGCGTTGTGACACTGATGTTTCGGGTGTATGAACCTGTTCGTGTTTTACACATCTGATGGGTTGATCCTTGTGAGTGCACAGGGTGTATGTAGTGTGCTCAAGGGGAAGTCACAACACTGTAAATACCTGTAAACAGTGTTGGTCAATGTGCAACTTGGTCTCAAGCGGGATACGATCTCATCACAGTTATTGCAATATTAAATAGCTCAGAACATGTTCATCACGCAAACGTCCTATGTTGATACAAATTCTAAAATAGCCAAAAGAAGCTAAAACTGACACAAAAGTACGCTGGTATGAAATAATAAAGTCGTTTCCACAGTGAAAAGCACCAAGTTTTCAAGTCGTCGCTGTCGCGCCAGATGACACAAAAAGTAAAGATAAAGACATCGAACATATCATCCAGTGTCATATACTCACACGCAAAAGAAACGCAAGTCGAGTATGCAGTATACATCTTATTTATTTTCAACAGTAAAGACAAGAAATACTCATAGGGCAAGATTGATAAAAATTTGACTGAAGACTGGATTAAAAGGCAGATGAAGTAATTGTTTTTTTTCAAATGTTAAGGGCTTACACAGTTTCGGGTCAATACCCAAAATGTCAGTCAATACCTGGTGTGACCACCGTTAGCATTGATCACTGCCACACATCTCCTGTACATTGAGTAGATCAGACGATTTGTGAAGGCCCTAGGGATCCTCCTGCACACATCCAGAGCAGCTATGCGTAGTTCATCGGCAGTTGTAGGGACTGGGTGCACATTGTGCAGACGCCTTTGAACCTCATCCCACAAGTGTTCGATGGTGTTCAGATCAGGGCTGAGGGCTGGCCACGGTAGAACACGGATGTTGTGTTGTTGCAGAACGGCCATGGTAGCTCTGGCAACATGGGGACGAGCGTTGTCCTGCTGGAAAATGTGTTGTTGATGTTGTGCAAAAAATGGAACAACGTGGGGTCTGATCACTTGGTCGATATACCGCTGAGCAGTGACGCCGTGTCCCCGACCTTGACCAACATTCAGAAAGCACATGGGTCCAAGTCTTGCATTAAGTCCAATCCCTGCCCATATCATGACGCTAGGTCCACCCCATGGATCCCTTTCCACAACGTTTCTGTCAGCGAAACGATCACCTCGACGCCGCCATATTCTGACTCTTCCGTCTGCATGGGAGACACAAAAGCCACTTTCATCAGAGAAGATG